CCTGGAAAGAGAACCTGAAATGCCCAAATACTCTGGAGGAAGAACAATTCAGGGGAGATCAAACCCCTGGATAAGGACCTCTGTTTTAATGGTACCAATATGCCCATTGAAAAATTCATCAAGAGATATGAGGCTGCTGGGGAAACAGATGGAGCAACCCCCCAGGATTTGGCCAGACAAATTATCCCCTTTATCAAAGGATTGGACCTAAAGGATGAAGTGGAGGAGATGTCAGGATATGAAGACTCTAACTGGGAACAACTGAAGAAACAACTACTCAACAGATTTGGGTCCTCCCTTCCCCTAGTCAAATACACCAGGCATGACCTTAAGCACCTGGTAAATTCTGCCATCAAAGGAGGAGGAATCAAGACCCTGGAGCACTTCAAAATCTTTAGGACCAAATTTGAAGCCATCACTCACTATTTGGTCAGGATGGGATACAGTTCCAACTTGGAGGAATCCAGAGAATGCTTGTTGGAAGCCCTCAGCCCAGACTTGGAATCCTCAGTAACCAGGGAGCTCATCAGAGACAATATGATGCTGGCCTCCAAGGATGGTGGTGACATTCTGCCAGATACTGAAACCCTGATCAGTTATATCCACAGAGAAGTTCAGTCTGCATCTGTCATGGAAAGAAGAAAAATCTGGAGAGGAATAGAGCAAAACAATTCAGCAAAACCCCCAGCCCAGAAAACCCAGGACCAGAAAGCTGTGGAAGATCTCACCAAGACCTTGGCCAGCTGGCACACTCAGAAATCCAACCCCTTAATTTCCAAAAGCCATGTTCCCTACAAACCTGCCCAATTGGAAAAAGACTGGAGTACTGTCAAGTGTAATTATTGCCATGGACTAGGCCACACTTTCCACAGATGTAACATGGCCAATGAGGATGAGCTAAAAGGACTCTTCAAGAAGGATGGACCCAATGTAATTCTACCAGATGGATCTCAAGTTCAATGGCAGAAAAACAAGGCCTTCAAATCAGCTGTGGACCACTTTCACCTAGCTCAGAAACAGCCTGGAATTCTCAACTTACCCCAAGGAGCCCTAAATAAGTCTGCAGAAATTTCCATGGACCCCCAGACCTCTTTTGGAAAATTGGAAGAAATGGACCAAGAAGAGGAATCCACCTATGAATGTGAAGCTGTAAAAAGGGACCAGAAGTGGAAAGGAATATCCAGAGGAAACCTCCAGTCAGCAAAGGGTCAGAAAGAAAAAGAGGACCTAATGGATGTAGACAGGACAGACTCCAAGAAATTGCCAGAACAGGATGACTACATCCAGTAATCTTCACCTTCTTCCACCAAGGAAAATCCCCCACCAAAGAAGGTCCAAATCCAGGAACCTGAAAGCACCACCATACCAGCTACCAAGGAAAAAGCCCCTAAGAAAACCTATGTGGAGAGACCTCTAACCAGCCAATTTCCAGATGCAGAAGACAAAGTGGTCAGCAGGATGTTAATGGATGGTAAAATGGAACTTTCCTATGGAGAAATTTTTGCAATTTCTAATGGAACTGTTGAAGCTTTCAAGAAAAAGATTACCCCAAAAAGGATTCCAGTGGACTCCACCAAATCTACCAACTCTGGAGGAATTGACCAGGATGGAGAAGAAGATGAAGAATCCCAGGAAGAACCCAGCCATTATGCCTGCCCCCTAGGATATATTGATGTCAGTATCAATGGGAAGTCATTTCAAGCCCTCTTGGATAATGGATCACAAGTCAACTTACTCCCCAGGGACCTTGCAGCAAGAATGGGCCTCATAATCACCCAAAGAGCCATGAATCTTAAAGGAATTGGTGGCCACAAGAATGAAATTCTAGGAGTAGCTGAAAATGTACCTGTAAAAGTGGGTCACATCACCAGAGGAATACATTTTTATGTTTCTGCAGGAGAAGTTCAACCTATTTTGGGCAAACCATGGCTCATAGATGTGTCAGCAACCATCAAATTTCACCAACATGGAGCAGAATCCTTGGCAATTCAGAAGTCAGGCAAAACTTACTTGGTACCCATACATAATCCAACCAATCAGAAATGGGAGAAAGATTTTCCAGTTCACACAGCCACTACTTCAAGTCATTTTTTAGTGTCTGGCACCTCCCACAAGTGAAGTCTTGGGAGGTGCCTAATAAACAAGAGGAGGATAAATTAGTATATGCTGCAAAATATAAATCAACTACAAAAAAAATAAAACCAGTTAATGAACCTATGCCTCAGAATCTCAACTCACCTTTATGCAATCCCCCTTTATCAAGAGACCCTTACAAAACCCCCTTAACCCCCTTCCCACCTGAATTTACCCCCACCTGGAAAATAACTGAAGAAAGGTTGAAGGTTGTCAATTTTGGACCCCCTGGATGGCTTTGGCCAGAAGAACTGAAACTCCTCAAGCATGTCATCAAGCTCAGACAAGGAGGACTGGCCTTTTGTGAAGAAGAAAGAGGACTTCTGAAGCATACCTATGGAAAACCCTACATTATCCCAGTGATCAAGCATGACCCTTGGCAACAAAGGCCCATCCCAATACCTGCAGCCATCAAGAACCAATTCATAGAGTTAGTAAGGGAAAGACTCAAGACTGGCCTCTATGAACAATCCTGCTCAAGTTATTCCAGCCCAGTATTTTGTGTCAAAAAGCAAGATGGAAAGTTAAGAGTGGTCCATGACTTACAAAGGCTCAACAAAGTAACCATCAAAGACTCTGGACTTCCACCAAATCCTGAAGAACTCATTGAATCTTTCACTGGAAGGGCCTGCTATGGTCTGGGTGATATAATGGGAGGATATGATGAAAGAGAATTAGCCCTGGAATCTAGACCCCTCACCACCTTTGAAACCCCCCTTGGCAGATTTCAACTCACCAGATTACCCCAAGGAGCCACCAATTCTGTGGCAGTCTACCAAGCCCAAATGATGTGGATACTCCAGGATGAAATACCAAACAATGTGGGCATTTTTATTGATGATGGAGGGATTAAAGGCCCTGTGTCAGACTATAATCAAGAAACATTGGAAGAAAATTCAGGAATCAGAAGATTTATTTGGGAATATGCCATTACTCTGGAAAGGATCTTATTCAGAATAGAAGAAGCTGGACTCACCATCTCTGGAAAGAAATTTGCCTGTTGTGTACCTGCCTTGGACCTTGTAGGACATGTGGTATGCAAAGAAGGAAGAAAAATTGCCCAGAAACAACTCAACAAGGTGGAAAGCTGGCCACTCCCTGACAACCCCACAGATGTCAGAGGATTTCTTGGAGTCTGTGTTTATGTCAGAATGTTTATCCCTGGACTTTCAGAACTTGCTTCACCCCTCAGAAGGCTCACTTGGAAGGACTCAGAATGGAAATGGAACCAGGCTTGCCAGGATGCCTTTGAAAAACTGAAGAAACTGGTGGGCTATGATATTACTCTAAAAAAATTGGACTATTCTGAAGAAGCAGGAGCAATAAAATTAGCTGTGGATTCAAGTCATATAGCAGCTGGAGCAGTACTCACACAAGAAGATGAAGGCCTGGACAGACCTGTCCTTTATGAATCAGTGGTATTTTCCCCAACAGAATCCAAATATTCCCAGTCCAAATTGGAGCTTTGTGGAGTCACCAAGGTCCTCAAGAAACTACAAACTCAATTATGGGGCCAACATTTTGAATTATTAGTAGATGCCAAAAGTCTAATAGAAATGATCAACTCACCCAGCCTTCCAAATGCTCCCATGACCAGATGGGTAGCCTTTATCCAGCTATTTTCCTTTACCATGAAGCATGTCCCTGGAAAAACTTTCACCATGCCAGATGGATTATCCAGAAGAACCCCTGACCCTGGAGAAATTGGAACAGATTTTGATGAAGAAGAAAAATGGATCAAACCTCACCCTGGCTTTGGACTAAAAGAGGTCAACATGGCAAATTTGGGGGTGGAACCCACTCACAGCAACCAAATTGGAGTCTGGAAACACCTTCAATATTACTTGGAAACCCTCAACAGACCCCCTGAATGTTCAGACAAGGATTGGAGTATTATTAAACATAAGTCAGCAATGTTTTTTATGTCAGAAGGCCACTTAAAAAGAAGAAACAAACCTTTTCCCCAGGTTGTGGTAACCTCTCAAGACCTCCAGAAAACAGTCCTAAAGACCCTCCATGAAGAATTGGGCCACAGAGGCATGGATGAAACCTACAGAAGAGCCAAACTCAGATTTTGGTGGCCAAATATGAAGAGAGCTGTCAAGAAATGGGTTCAATCCTGCGTGGCCTGTCAGAAAAGAAGCTCAGCAAAACCCTTGGAACTCAAGAAGGCTACTGGGATCCCCATAATCTTTGGAAGAGTCAGCTTGGATACCATTCACATCAAAGCAGGAAGGTGGAAATACCTTGTTGTGGCCAGGGATGATCTCTCAGGATGGGTGGAAGCTGTAGGCCTGGAGCAAATCAAAGCCAAGAAAATCTCAGAATGGTTTATGGAAAATTGGATCCACAGATATGGAGTCCCCTTAACAGTTGTTGTTGATGGTGGCCCAGAATTTGGCCAAGAACTCCAAAAATCTCTCACTGAAGCAGGTGCCAAGGTCAAAGTCACTACACCCTACTACCCAGAAGCAAATGGAATGGTGGAAAGAGGACATCAGCCCCTGAAGGATACTTTGGTCAAACTCTGTGAAACAGATGGAAAAAAATGGAGGAATTACTTACCACTAGTACTCTTTGCAGACAGAATTTCCACCAAAAGGACCACAGGATATTCCCCTTATGAATTAATCTTTGGACAACCTGCCATCTTGCCTGTGGACTTAGAGTTGGAAACTTACCTGGGAACTGATTGGACCAAAATTAAATCAACAACAGAATTATTGTCAGCAAGAGTCCTCCAGTTGGAAAGAAGAGAAGAAGTCCTGCAAGATGCTTACAAGAAGATGAAGGAGGCCAGATCCCAATCCTTGGAGCCAATGAACCAGAAAAAATCCCTCAGAAACCCTCTCAATCCTGGCCAGTTGGTGTTAGTTTATAATAAGAGTCTGGACTCCCAATGGGGCAAACTGTTTGAAAACAGGTGGAATGGCCCTTATAAAATTATCAAGCAAGAAAAAGGAGGCTCCTATGCACTAGAAGAATTGGATGGCACTGAGCTCAAAAGAAGATATGCTGCTTCTCAGGTCAAACCTTTTTTTTCCAGAGAATAAGTTTTTCCTTTTGTTTCTGTATTTCTAAAAATTATTTCATCAAAAACAAACAAAAGAAACAAAAAAAATCCTTGAATAATTCTTGAAAAATCCTCGAAAAAAATCCCTAAATCTTCAAAAAAAAAAAAAAAAAAAAAAAAAAAAAAGAATCAGAATCAAGTTTTTCAAACCGTTTTTTTATATATATATACCCAGAAAAGTGTTTTTTTTTACTTACTTATTCAATGACTGTCATTTGTACTTGGTCCACGGTTTCAAGTACACGGTCCAGTTCCTCCATAACGTTTTCATACAACCGACAGCGCGCTAATCGTCTGTAGCCTCCACTTCGACGCGGGTGATTGAGGACGTCGCCATCCAGCAATTCGAAATAAGAGCGGAAGAAGGCTTTGATGTGACGACGCGCATTCAGAACCGCGTCTTCTTGAACAATCTCGGCCCAGATCGGACCGCGTTCCTCAGGCGTCAGTTCGTGATCCGGATCGGGGAGGGGCGGGTAAACATAGCAGGGCTCAGCTGGAGGTGGTGTGTCGACGCGAATAGGGGAGGAGGCGGTTCCGCTTCCCGGGGCGTCAGAAGAAGTAGGAGGTGACGGCGATCGGGCGTACCTCTCCTGGTAGTGAAAGGGGAACTGGCCTTCAGCATTCACTTGAAAGGCCGCAGCTATGGCGAATAATCAAATGTCCGAAAAAGTTGGTGGAGGCGGACGGGGTGTCGGTACATGGTCCTCAACTCTTCGACGGATATCAGTAGAGGAGGCGAGTCCATCTTCACAGGACGACTCAGAATTAGCAACAGAAGCCGGAGTAGGGGAGGCGACAGCATCCTCGTCGGGCGACTCGGCCTTGACAAACGTTTCTGGATCGGGAGACAACATCGGCTCCTCTTCGGCAGCCGTAGACGGTTCAGAATGGAGAGAATACGGGGATAAGGGTTGTCCGTCGAAACGGTCTGGGATCTCAAAGAACGAAGACATGGAAAGGAGATGGCTGCTGTCGGACCCAAACTCGAACAGGAGGCCGCTTTTATAAGCGCGGGCTCAACACCCAGGGCACCATCCATCGGCAAAGTAGGTTACCCAAACTACAGGAAGTCCGGGCCGTTACTAGCCAGCCGCTGGCACTGACGGGGCTGAGACAGAAGGTATAGACCAGTAGCCGAGATACGATCTGGTATCAACGGACTACGAGGAAGAGGCATCGAAAAGAGGCGCTAACCTCTGACTAAGGCAACGGCAGGAGGAAGAAAAGCCTCGCCATACACAAACGCCGACGGAGACCGCTAAGACACCTAAAAGAAACACTGTTCACTGGTGTAATAAAATAAGAAGGGGAAGGATGCCGAGCGAGGATGGCTACACACCCTCATCATGAGCTCTCCTGTAGTCGTTTACGAAGATGACGCTAGCTACTGCTCTCAACACCTCATCGATCCGCTATCCAGGATCGTTAGCGTAATCAACCTCGCTCTGGGGACCTCCGAAGAAGACGTAAGGGCAGCCTTCTGCGAGTTCGGGAAGATCCAACACTGCTTTGTACCTCTATCCGCACCCACCACCGCTATTGTAGTTTTTTCGACCGTCGCCGAGGCACGGGCCAGCACGAGGAGCATGGATGGCGCCATCGCCGATAACAAGAAAATCCGTGTGCAAAGAAAAGGTGTCGCTGCACGAGGAGGCCTGTCGTTACTCTTAAGAATTGCTTGAACACACTTGATTGCTACTATGCCCCAACAATGCACCCTGAGCAAAGAAATTCCTACACCCTTTTCACCTCTAATTTGGGGGTGGTTACACCTCAGGTTATTCATTCTCCCCCTTAGTTTTGTTCCAATTTTTCTTCACACCAGCCTTCTACCTTTTATCATTCCTGGGCCACATGAAGAAACAAGCCTTCAAAATCTTTTGTAAATAATTGATGGATCAAAATAAAACAAAATAAAAATATAAAAATCATTACATAAGTTAAAAATACAAAAACAATTCCTTCATATACACAACCATAGATTTGTTTTTTTTCCTTTGTTTGGCACTATTTCTAAATCATGAATTTCCACAGTTATGACCAGGTTCTTTTCTTTTTTTCTAGAATATATTTTTTTCTTCAGAATTTTCAGGATGGGCTTTTCTTTCTTTTTCTTTTTGGATGATGGGGACATCATCTAATTTGGGGGTGGATGTGGTAAGCCACTCCTGAAATTTCAAAATTATTAAGGGAACAAATCACAGAAGAATCACACAGTCAAGACATCCCAGAAAGCTCCCCAGACCCCCAAAACCAATCATGAATCCCCTCAAGCACAGACCACCTGGATAATAATATTTCCCAGCAGAAACTCCACAGCCCTGAAACTCATTCCCCTCCAAACATATTCCATTCTTCTTTCTCCTTGTGTCTCACACTAGTAACAATCCCCTTGTCCATGAAACTGTTATCTCCTCCTATTTTCTTCCATGGAATATTCTTCCCCTTAGTTGTTTCATACTAGTAACCTTGGGAGCATTTTCCCACTGCTTGTTTCCCCTGTTTTCTCTGGATAAATATTTTCCCTTGTTTCATACTCTTCATAGAATGTTCCACTTATCTTCCAACCACAAGCTGGCCACTCCCCAGAATTTTGTATATAAGGAGCTTTGTTTTTCCACTTCATTTGTTCCTCATCAGATCCTGCCCCAGTAAGCCAGATAACTGATCACCCATTATTAGCCAGGTATTTGCCCATCAACATTTGGGATACCTTGATCTGTGAACAAGTATATTTAGACTAGTAAACATAAGACATATTAGACATACCATCCTCAAGAAATCTCCAAAGCCACACCTTTCCTTAAGAGTCCATACTCTATATTTTCTTGTTATCAGAGAGGCAGCCCAATAAAGCACTCATCCCTCTCAAGCTCTATTCATCCCAAGAGTAGTTCCACACCGCTCATTTTTTTTTTCTTTCAAAAAAAAAATATGTACATAAGATTTTTTTTTTTCATGCAAAAAAAAAAAACACAGCAGCCTCGCCGACCAGGAGGACTCCCTCCTGGCCGGTGAAGCCGGCGCAGTCATGCAACGGCCAGAAAAGCAAGTAGCGCCAGGAGAAGCCAATTGGGAGTCTTGAGTGAGCATGTAGAGTGAGGCAAGAGTGACTGTACTAGAGTTTTTGTCGGCCAGGCGTTGGACGACGGCTCAAGATGCCCAGACGAGATATACGTTCGAGGGAGTGCAGGGGAATGGCTTCTTTGACGGGACCTTGCTGAACGACGGCTCGGATCAGCTTCATACCCCGGCTTGGCCTTGGTGTGCAGTTTCTAAATATTCGAAGAGACTGGGCTCTTGCATGGGAGGTCCAGACTGACATGGATTGAACGGTCCACAACCATAAGACCAAGGTGAATGTCATTAACCCTTCAAAGACGGGTTTGCGTCTCTCAGATCTCTGTCCTTTGACGATACCGTCCCTCATCGTTCACTCACACCATCTTCTCTCGCCCTGATCTGGTGACGCACATATGCAGACCCCGGCCAAGTTCAACCAACTGCCATTCCCTCCTGGTCAACGAGGTTTTACAACCTTGCCGACCAGGAGGATTCCCTTCTTGGCCGGCAAGGTTGTACCGCTGACCAGGAGGGATTCCTCCTGGTCGACGTGTAGGCATTTTTTTTTCTGTTTCTTTTTTTTCTTTTTGAAAGGATTTTTTTTTGTTCTTATTTTTTTTTTGAAAGAAAAAAAAACCTCCCATAGGACCCATGCCTGGGTCCTATGGGAGGGAGGATTGGCGTGCAGGCGCGCACGCCAATCTGCGCCTGGCGTGCAGTTTGGCGTGCGCAAGGGGGGTTGGCTTGCGTTTATCAACCCCCAGTGTCAAGGGATGTGTTGGGCGGTTGAGATGGACGTGACTGAGTATTACCGGCAAAATCGATTCGCAATTGCAAAAACTTGATCTCGTTCTTAAGTCCTTGGATCTCGAATTGTTGCGCGGTTAACTTCTCCTTGAGTCGATCGTTTTCGATCCTTAATTGGTTTGCTTGACCTTTATCCCCATCGCGTAGTTCTCTTATCTCTGCTTCTAGACGAACATTTGCCGCACGAGAATCCTGCAAAGCAACCGCATAGAATTGCGAGATGCTGCGTTCATGATCGCGTACCTCACGCGCTTGAGGATCAAAGAACGAAATCATGTTATTTTCAAGTTCGGCAGGAGGCTGACCAGGCCTTCTGGATTGCGCTGCGCCCCTGTAAGGGCCATCTGATCGCACCCGAGTGTCTGGTCGATTCACCAAAGGATTTTGGTGAGAACCTGAACCTGAACCACCGGTTGACAACCTTTGGTTCCACGCGCTAAAGCATCGTGAGTTCGGTCCAGAGTTGTCTGATCGAGATTGCTCGGCAGGGTTTGTCGACGGAGGTGAGGTTAGATCGAGAGGGTCAGGAAGTGTATCCTCGTTTCCATCTAAGTCCGACTCGGGTAATTCATTCTCCTGCATCAAACCGTCAACTCCTCCTTCAATATCATTCCTGATCAAAAGGAAATTAAAAATCAGAAAAATTCTCAATTAGAACACAATACCTGTCCAAAACACTCACCCGTTATTTGTATTTTCAGTATCGTTACAAGAGATAACATGAGCTCGTCTGTCGATCGATACTTGAGTCGCTTTGGCCTCGCAAACATATGATGGACAGTCCGCATCACCTGTCGGTTTTGTCTGGTTTGCTAAGGCTCGGAATTTGAGCTTTAAAGCATCGGCCTCTCTGGTTGGTCGACCACTCTCCTGTGCGTATTTATTGAATTCCACTTGAACATATCCCCACTCCTGGGAGCCCAAAGGGAGATACATCTTGACTGCATTCACCAGAGCCAAGCAGTCTGGAGTGGTGTATCCAAATGATCCCTTTTGCCTCCCAGGACGCTTGGATGCAGTAGCAGCGGCCGATCGCACGGACGGATTCGATTGGATACTGGCGGGGGTCCCAGATTGGGTTGGGAATTGATTAGTGTCACTTTGTTGGGTCGGCTGCGTTGGCTGGGTAGGGTTGATTAATTGGCTTGGGAGGCTTTGCTGGCTTAGATCGCTTGGCTGGGTTAGTTGCATAGGGTGGATAAGTTGGGTCGGCTGGGTGAGTTGGATAGGGGGTATTTGGGTATGGTGGGTTTGATGGGTTGGCTGGGTGAGTTGGATAGGGTGGGTTAGTTGGATTGGGTGGGGTAGTTGTGTTGTAGGGTGGGTTTGTTGAGGGGAAGTTGACGGAGCCATCTTGAAGAAGTGGCTTGGATATGGTGGAAGAGGATGGATATCAAGAGCAAGCAGCCGATCGGAAAGGAGAGGCTATGTAGCCTGGGATCGCCGATGGTAATCAAAGCTTGTGTAAATTTATTTTAGCTTTACAGCGTGTAAAAATAGCTTTACAGGGGCTGTAAAATCAACGGGAAGACCTCCAGTGATTAGTGTGCTATTGAGATAAATTGTTTTATTATCTTTCTTTCAATCTTAAAAATAGGAAAAGAAATAGGTTTAGGAACAAGAAACCACCGAACCAAGAGACAGAAAGCTCTGTTCCTGAACCACTTGCAGGGTGGGTGGGAGGTGAGAGAAAATTTATTTGATAATAAATTAGGTAAAAAATGTTATAATGTTATATAATGAAGGATAAGATTTTAGTTTGCGGATGAAGGAAAGTTCCGTAGATTTTCCGAATGGGAACTCTTTTGTACCCAGCACATCAATAGTCGGTCTAGTTTTGGACTAGACCAGGACTATAATGTCCTGCTCGAAAACTAATCTTATCCGTGCACATGGACCCCGGCACCTTCTCTTAGTGCCTAGTTCAGGTGCCATACAAGAACACAGAGGGCAACAGGCTTTGTAAGTTGTCTGATTTTTCAATTCAATCATGAGATATAAAGAAGTCTTTGATCCCTGACTATGGAGGCACTGGAGGAGCTCCCATCACAATCTGTGGGTCCCCCATAACCAATTTGAGGCCTCAAACCCCAAATTCCTCTGCAAGAATCTACGGTCTTTTTGGGTCTAGATTGACTTCTGCAAGGGTCCCAGATTTGACGCAAAGTCCTCCACTTCTCCCATTGTTTATTTATAAATCAACCAGACATCAATTCATCCACAAATATGATTGTAGAACTTTGTTACCATACCTGCTGCAAACATAGCTCTCCAATCAAACACCTTCATAGAGAGATAACTATCTCTCCCTCTTCTTCCTTGATTTCCTCCCCCTTACACTCTTTCATCTCTCTAAAATGAAAAAGACCTGTTGACAGGAATACACTTCTGGCCACATACTCTGCAAAACTGCATAGAAAAAAAAATTCACAACCCATCTGTCATATTTTGGCTGCAAATTCACTTCCTAATATGGGGGCATAAACCCCTCAAGGGCATGGCACAATCTTGTGACAAAGGGACACACGCTTTTAAAAGGTTTTGACTGTATTGATTAAGATCTGCTTGTTGTTCCACAAGCCAAGGCTTCAAATATCACTTTATTTACCAAAAAAAGAAATCATCTTCCACTAAATTTGTGAGTCATCTTTGGTGAAAAGTTGTTGTGTACATCACCAGTTTTCTTCCTGAAAATGTTCTTGTTTCTACTCTAGTCACTGAAACCTGTCATGCAATGTCTTGTCAGTCAGAAGCCCCTGAAATGTTGTTGTGAGTCTTTGGACACTTGAGGCTCTGTTGGCACACCCAAAACTCAACACTTGGGGTCACATTGCAGTTGCCCTTAGACGTCCTTATCAATAATTCCTACCTGGGAAATGTAGAAATTGTTGAATAGGTATCATTTGAACTCATGATGAGTCCAATCATCTCAGATTTATTATGGGGCTGAATATAGAGGTCTGATAAAATAAGAAGGATTAATTGTTGATATTAAAAAAATCAAATTATTTACACTTCACTTGAAGAGCATCTATTAGAAAGTTTGTGATCCTTTGGAATTCAGATGGGATAGCTTGCATTTTTAGGAATTCTGCCTTGCAAGCTTCGAGTCGATTGTTCTTGTTTTTGTGAATGGCTTGTTGAATTCTTATTGACTTTGGATTTTCAAGTTCAAATCTGGTGAGTTTTGCTCTATAATCTACTCGATTCAAAATTGTCAAAATCTTGACAAATTTAGTCGCATTCAAAAACTCTTGATCATCATTATCATCTCTAGATAATGTTCGTAATCTGGAAATTTCTTCCAATTCTTCATTCTTGAAAATGATTGGAAACTCTTTATTTTTCTCATTTTGAGGGACTAAGAACTCTGCATTGGAATGTGCTAATTGGTTTGCAATGATCCGAAGATAATGACAATTGTTAATCTTTTTGATCAAGATGTGTTCGATTGCAAATTTTTCAATCTCATTCTTGTCCAGGTCTTCAAGTTTTGAAGCAGACTTTAACTGGTCCAGTAAGGTTTCTTCCTTGGCCGTGAGGGTGATCCCCCTTGTTTTCATGGCCTGTAAAGCTTTATATGCATATCCATATCTTGTTCTTTCTGATAGTGCTTGAGATGAGGGGTTTTCGAATTTTTCACGATCTTGGAGATGATTCCGAGCCGTTTCAATCAGGTGGGTATTTTTGTGAAATTCTCTGATGCGCTCAAGCTGGATATCATACTCGTTGGCCCGATCTTTGATTGTTTCTTTCTGGCCCGGTGTAAGATCAGGTTTGGGATTGATCTTGTGTTCCCTGAGCTTATCTAGAACGAGCTCTTCATGTAAAGACAGTTTGAGATCCATGTCCAAGATAGAAAAAGCTTTCATGCGTGACGATTTCTGCTCTGATTTGTTCCTTTCCACCAAGAGGTTCCGAAGCACCCTTTTAGTTTTTCTATCCAGATTCAAGCCGTTTACAGATGAGAACTCGTGTACATCTTTCAACGTTTCCATGGTTGATAAGAGCTCTATCTCGCTCTTGTGCCACACTTCTCCTTGCCTTATATTTTCTTGAAGCTGGTCTAATGCTTCAACAATTTTGACCATCATTTTATGAGTGGGCTCCCCCTCTGTAGTTGCGGAATAAGATTCCTTCAGACTTTCGATCCTCATGAGCTGCCTTTGCGTCACCGTTTGACAAGATATTTCGGTAATTAAACTCTTATCATCAGAGGTGAGCTGAGAGTTACCAGCTGACATATTCTCGATCAGTTGAGCTTGTCGGTCTGAAAAATCAAAGCCTCGGCTTTCAAGAATCGATAATCGGTTTATCGCAGTCCATTCATTGTCATTTGAGAGGGCTTTGGAATTCTGAAAATTTCTTCTTAGTTTGCTTAATTTCATCGAAATGTTTTCTTTTCTCCATTTTTCTCTTTCGAAGAGATAGAGGAAAAAATTGACTAATTTAAACCACCAGCCTTTCAATTCAAAATCCTGCTCCGCTAATTTCACATCTTCTAACAATTCTGTACGAAGTTGTCCTTGCGTCTCTTTGGTGATAACTTGGCGCAACCTACGCAAACCAGTATGGGTTCCGCCTTTTTTGAATTCCCTGACAAGTCGATCCTTCCATTCAATTTGAAGAAGTTCAATGCCTTCGGCTTGTTTCAGTAAAGAGGCCTGGATTCGGGCATGCTCTCTATCCAGAGCCTCAAAATTTGGATTGTTGTGGATAGACTTGGTGAGTAAATCATCTCGGGCAAGCAATTCTTGATGCGTTACAGTTGGACGCTTGACGTGAAAATAGTGAGGCCAATAGATGTATCCTGTGCTTGGTGGATGATCATCAACACCACGACTTTGTGAGACCGAATCGCTTGCAAAATATTTGAGATCATCGCCTTTCAGGTGCTTCGAGTCATGCCAAACTGCACTGGATTTAGCGTCATCCTTCAAGCCACCCACGGTGCGACCTAGAGTTTCGACGGTTTGAATCACACCACTAGGGTTCTCCTGGTTTTCAGAATTCGGAAGCGGTGCCAAATTAGTGAAGGGGGCACAATGCAAGATTACAATGAAGCTTATCATCATCGTTTTCTGCCACTTGATAGCTTGCCTAGCTCTTTCCAAACCAAACGACACCCGCGGTGCAATCATCGTGCCAAACGTTTTTGGCCTTGCAGACAGGTTTGTGATGGAGTTATCAAGATCAACATTTGATTATACAGAAGTTTTTCGGATGTAGAAATTCAAGAGCAAAGAAAGATGCTGGGAATGTTCTTGAACAGTGAAGCAAAAAAGTGTTTTGTCGACCCGGTCACCCGACCATTGTGAAACAATTGCACAAATCTTCGACTTCAGCCTGACTGCATAGTACTGTACAGGTGTACCAAGAAGCGTTTCGCATGTACTCAGGTAGGAAACTGCATGAGCGTTTCTTGCTGGAGCACATTGTTTCATCTTGTTGTATGCCTTGATGTCGCCCCCACAGTAACCGCTCTAATATTAAGGATCTGAAGGAAGGTCCGGATGAGATCACACATATAATCAACTAAGCTTAGAGAGGCCAGAGCTCCGGCAAGGCCATTCACAGACATTAAAGAACTTGTGACAAGCAAGAGAAAATCATCAGCTCTGAAATGCTCTGTAGGACATGACACCTCATATTCATAAATTGGAAGGGAATGCAGATATGCAAGGACATATTGAAGGGAAGAACAATATGTCTCTTGAAAAGGATTATTGGCCTGGTGTGGGGCAACTGGCTTGTCATTCAGGTTGAAATGTTTCACCTGCCAAAACCAGGGAACGTGTTGCCATTCTGTGACTGCTGAGTCCTTACCAAATGAGGTTTCACAATACATTTTTCTTCTTCATTTTTATTGAATATCCATTACACTTTCTCTAGCCATGACCACAAATTGGCCCTCTTGTATGGTGGTTACTTAACTTCAGCTAGATACAACTTACAAGCAATTAAACCACATTGGTTCTGATCCTCTGTTCCTTCTAAGGGCCTTTTCTCCCCTTAGTTGTCTCATCCAAGACTGAGGCAATTTTTCCCTCAGGGAGAGTGAGTTTAATTATGGTCTGATCCACCACTATAGTCTAGCCTGCTCTAATGGTGCTTACAGATTTTTTTCTGTCTTGCTCTTTCTCATTGGCTATAAGTTCATCAGAACACCAATCTCTCACACCAAATTTAACTGCTTCCCTCAACTTCCACTTTCAGAGGCAAATTTTGATTCATATGCACAAAAATGCCTAGTTAAACTACCTGCAACGGGTGGAGTAACTATCAAGTAACAGTTTATTGGCTGTTGTCATTAGAATTTTTGCTAATGGTGGTCCCATTTCCAATATTGCTACCAGGGGAGTTATGATTTGATGGGTTGTTACAGTATGTGCGCAATGAGTGGCAAATATCAAATGAGATATCAAGCAAAAAAGGCCAATTTAGCAATAATTTGGCCTTCCATTTCTCATTATTGTGTTGTCTAGGGGATAACATGTTACCTAATCATTTTCAGATATTTTAAAGTAGAGTACTACCCATTTTTGATATGAGGGGAATTTTTGCCAGCTTGAGCAATACCAAGGCCCTCTATCTTTTCATTTCTCCTTGAGCTTGAAATTAGCTAGGTGATATAAGTGTTTATTTGTCTCTTACATCTATAAGTCTACCTCAGACTGTACTCTCACAATAGACCACAACTGCCTCCTTGGATCACTGCCCCTGTCTTGTCCCCCCCATCAATCTCATTGGTTCAAATGACAGAGTAATGGGAATAAAGTAAAATAAGAAACATGAAATAGGATAACTTAGATAATCTTTTTTGGTATTTGTTTATTTATATGATAACAACGGTGAAACGATGCAATAAATAGCCATGTATTGCTATCACATCAAAAAAGCGATGCATTGCATCGGCATTGCATCAGCATCATATCGGAAAGCAATGCAAACCAATGCCACCAAATTATAGTGCATCGCATCACATTGCTTTGCTGATGCAATACTGATACACTGTATTGAACAATCTGATGCAAGCAATGCGATGTGGGGCCCCGTATTGCTCTTGCGATGTGATGCGATAAAGGCCCGATACGATGTGATACCTATGCATGCATCACATCAGTTAAATCGTTGATGATAATCATCTGTTTTTCAGACATGCAACTCTACAGAGTGACCATTAGGCAGCCAATTTGGATGTCTAAATCTGATTTTACCACCAAGTCTTGGTCCTAGATGGGGAAATTGGGGAGTTCTGATTCATTTTTTTTATTTAAATGAGAAGCTTTTATGTAGTAACTTGCAACAGTAGAATTGTTGGGGAGTGGTCAGGGGAAAACCCCACTGATGGGATTGGGAGTCCAGGGGGAAAGAGGGGGAGTGTTGATCTGAGAGGGAGGACCCCGGCAACCCCCCCCCCCCCCAAGAGGGGGGGGTTGAGAAACTCTGGATTTGGGCACAATTCATACCTGTTTTTTTTGGAAAATTCATACCTTTTCAAGAGTATTATTTCCAAAAGAGGGGTTTTCCCAACAAACTCCTGGGTTTGGGGTCCGAATTCCAGATTTCAGTGGTCTTGACCAGTTTCACATACCAAAAATGAGTGATTTCAACAAGAGTATGTTTTTGGGCCAAGATACTTCACACCTTTTTCAAGGTTTTCCAAGAGTGGGTTTTTGGGATTTTTGCCCATTTGTCATACCTTTTCCAACACGCCCCTATTGGGGGGCTTGCCGGGGTCCTATCATTTTTGTCTTTGGTCTCAGTAGAAAGATTTGAATACTCTACCAACTGAGCCACTGCTAAAACTATCTACTCCTCTGGAGTGGTTGACTCCCTGATTTGAGTCGTTGTTACTCTTGATGTATTGCCTCCGCGCATCCTACATGATGGTGTGAACTTGGGCGCCTCTCTGCGGCAAGCCTCCCACTCCACAAACATATGGTCATTTGGGAGGGAAGGAAGCATGCAACGTATCTTGGTTAAATTTTGCTGAACTGTTTCAAGAGACGTGGTTTCAGAATACGTGTGTTAACTTTATCTTCAAATAAATAGTCATGGCTCACAAGAGATGAGCTTCTTGAAGAGATATCAACCTTCGTATGTAGCTCTTTATCAAGTACAACAGCTGATCGTATGGAAGAGGGTTGAGTGTCATTCACACGTGGTATAGCTCATGATGAGTGTTTGCATGGGCTGTTCTATTCGGTTCTCCGGCAAGTCTGAGCCGATGAATAACCTTTTTCTTTCCTGTCACCCAATTACTGCCTTCAAATAGCAGATCGAGCCGAACAAGTTACAAAATCAATCTATCCCTCCCTCTCATTTAAACGTACGGAAAATGCGCAGAAAAATATGGACCAGCGTGATCTGGATAATCTCGTGTTTAGGAGCCTCAGACAATTTTCAAAAAGTCATAGCTATTGATGATGTGAATGACCTTTCAAGAACCTCTGAGGCCAAGAGAATCTCCGATTCCAGTGGTGATTCGACTACCATTCGCGAAGAATTAGGATCCAGGAAACGCAGTAGAGTAATTCTACTTGGCAGTGGTTCGGGCTCATCACCACGTGAAGGTAGGTATAAAGTTCCCTAACCCAATGTTCTGAATAATTACAATTTCTGAAAAGGCTCCCACCAGAAGAATGCAATTCAAACGATTGATCAATCTTTAACTGTATGTTTGAATCGTCTCACACGGCCCCTCATCACGAATCAAGCCAAGAAGGCCAAGATGATAAGTGGTCAGTGCAGCTAGTGCTAGGTTTGGACATACCAGTTAGCGATGATTACAGCTTACATCATTTTGTCACTTTTGAAGCAGATACAACGCCTCACGAATGTTACTTGGAAACTTTGGAGAATTTCGAAAGCTGGGAATCATATTTTTTGAAACTACGGCTAGAACCCGCTCAGAGACCGATGTTTAGAAATCAAATGAAAGCGGTCAAAAAGTCCCTGCTAAATTTGTTTGAGCCAAAGGTTGATGAATTCAGTCAGCGTAGACTAGAGATGTCACTCAGCTCGATCGCGGACATCAGCAAAACATGGGAAACTTTGAACCCGCAGAATAAACCAGAAAGCTTAATAATCAAACGTGGAAGTGATCTGATGATTGGTTGTTTTGTTGACTTGAAAAGACTAGGAATCCTCCCCCAAGAAAGTCTATCTAATTTTCTGAACCGCGATAATCGGGGGAAATTGATCGCGTCTTACATCAAGAGCAGATACCCCACCTTAACTTTGACCACTGCCTATCTGAACTTTAATCTTAAGCTAAGCCTCATCCATTCCTCTTACACGAAACAGATGGCCAAGCTGTTAGAGGGTCAGTCAATATCCTGATGTTTTTCTTCCTAATTCACTGCAGTGATCGAGCTTCTATGTTCACTTGTTTTCCGGAGAAGACTCAGATTTTCTTCCCTTAATCAAATGCAGGCTTGGACCGAGAGACTTGGGAACGGATTGAGTTCGATTGTCTTCAGGCTCGGATGACTTCGTATCAGTTGACCGATTCCTCATCATATCACTCCTTTGCTTCCCTTCAGGAGAGTTTCCTGAAGGTGGCGTCTCCAGAAAACGTCGAGCTGCATGAAACCGAACTTATAGCATTCTTGGAAAGCTTGATAAACCACGTTACATCACAATCTAGAATTAAAAGCCTGAGACCTCAGGAATCGCAAAAGCTAATCCATTTGAAACATTTATACGATATGCTGAGCTTTATCACGCGCTATCGCAGATCGTTCATTTCAGACAAATTCTTGGAACAAAACAAGCAGCCGATCCGTGTATTTGAGGAAGCGGTTGGACTGATGTCGAATATCATGCACTTGATCATTATCAGAAAGAACGCTTATTATGAAGAGCTGAAGGCAGGAGGCACATTGCCTAGCGAAATCCAAAAAGTCTCGCAAGAGTCAGCCGGATTGATGGGCCCAACTCACCGAAACATTTTACCGAGCTTTGTCAATATAATCGGTGATTATCAAATGTCCCAAGATTTTCAAGTTGCAGTAAACCTTTCTACTGACTTGTTTGAGTCAAGAATTAAGCCATCCATACCGAGATTCCTCAATTTCAATCCAGTAGAAATCAAAAGTTCAATTCAAAACTGCAAAGATCAATACAGACGATTTTA